CTTTAGCATCAGAAACAGAGTCTCGGAGTGTACGGTGACCGGATGCTGGCCGGGTGGGTGTGGTTTTGGGTTCACTTACTTCACTAAAAGCCCGTTCCATAGTACTAAGTGGTTATTTTAGACTCTGATGGTGAAAGTGTCGGCAGTTACTGGGGTTAGACACGCAAGACACTACGTGTTCAACGGAAGCGCATGGAATGCACGGGGCACTCGCATTACGTATAACGTACGCACATATATGTACTATATATGGGCTATATTCGTGCCTTATATCTCTAGATCTTGATTTAGAGATTTGATTCTCTGTTCAATTAATTCTGCGCTTGAGATATAAAGTAGCGACGGAAAATTAGCCGATGGTCAGTTTCATCACGTTCCAGGCAGAAACCGAATGCATGACAACCTGCATTGCTTCATACAACTCACCCAGAACTGCAGCGTATAGTCTTGTTTCACCGAACTCAGGCTATAATTCACGGAACAATCGACTCATAAAATGATCCCAATGGAGACATCGTCGATCAAGGCTGCTGTTACATCCAGCGGGTCGTAGTACGCCGAGTCCCGGAACCCGACCCGTCTGGCCTGTAGCCAGATGCGTCGGTTACAGGCTGGACGACGTCCTTCCGATCCGAGTTCTGGCAGCCATGGACCGAGTGGGGTCGGGTGAGGTCGGCCGTCAGCGGCGCCGACAGGACGCGAGTCGCCCCCGACGCCGGCGGTGTTGCGCCGGGGAGCGTTATAACGCGTGCCTCATCTATGTACATATGGCCAGACAGGGGTCCATAAGTCATTGGTTTGTACATATTAGTGCTGGTGGCGGAGGTCACAGGTCGAGCGAGGACGGATCAGTGAAGCTGGTGTCATCAACTGCTCAGTCCGCCTAGAATGCTTGCATGCTATTTGGTTTGGGTTGCCTTCGTGTTAATGGAAAACGATTGATTTACATTTTGTGCATATCGTTTCATCAATTTATAGCATTTATCGTTACTCGTGGAAGTGAGGTAGGTAAGTTCATCAGAGTCATTTTGCATGATAGTGCCTCAGTCGCGTGAGAGCCATGGTCCTCCGTTGAGGCAAATGTGAATCACACCCCGCAATTAGCCCGCTGAAGGTGCACGAGAGAGCTACCGTTGACCGCTGACCACAATACCATTGATCACAGCATGTCAATCATGCCTGACCCAGTCAGCGGAACGTGACAGGGATGTAAGTTGTAGTGTTGACTGTTGCTGTCATTGTTGTGTGATGATAGACAGGTCACTCGCACCGTGATCGAGTCAACGGTTGGCAGCAGCCGGGCCCCGTGCTGTTTCCGTTATGTCTGTTTTCCCAAGGGATTGATCGAACCTCAAAGCTACGAACTTCGAATAAAAAATACATTTGGTTCTTAGACTGTGTGCATTTCACACACTGATTGAGCAGTTTCGTAGCCAATTTGTAATTCCATCTATACCTGCTTGAAGCAAATTTTGCCTTTTACACGAACATGCAAACTAGCTTTATCAATTAAGAAATTGCTCGCTAGATACTGATAACTCGCAGTGGTATATCCAAGGCCATCTATAGAAGGTACAGTCACTCCCCCGCCGACCAATCAGAGACAGATCCTGAGTGACGTCACCCCTGATGCTCGCAAGCGGTACTCCATTCCTATACAACGTAAAAATGACTAACTTCATTTGAAGATTATTGATGGCACTCTACACATACCGCTCAGCCGTTGATGTCAATGGAAAGCCCAACTAATTTTCCAGCGACAAAAAAGAGCAGCAATATGCTAAGAAATGGCCGGTTTTGAAGATATACACGATTTAAAAACCCTCTGCAGCAGCAGAAAAGCAACGTAAAAACGCATCGATCTTATATTTTTACTATAGATAAATCATTTTTTCAGTAAGTTTTTAGATATGGTATAGATTTAAGTTACAACTTTATTACAATATTTTCATTACTTGAAACTTTATTTCAAAATAATATTTTCAAAAATGGCAGCTGTTGGCAAGTAGCTTGGGAGCGATTGTGGCGCACCGCGCCATTAATTGTCCTGAGGCCCCCTTATGATGTCATCAAAAGCGGAGTGACATGGGCCTGGTATATCCTTGCGTCGAGATGTTCGCAGCTTCGCATTATGTTCTAATCCCGTTGTCGCTGCCAGGCGCCATCCTTCAAGCAGCCATAAGCAGCCATCTACAACAGTAAACCTCTGCAGATAGCCGGCGGATTTAGAGACACTGTCGCTTATAATTTGCTCTCTCTCACGCTGGGCCGGTTTGGTAGACTGCTGGAATGTTTGGCCACCTGGTCACGGCTGACCACCGCTGAAACGGGGCCTATGTTTCTGTCGCTATGACCATCAGCGTGGTGCTGACCGGTGCCGCTCCTCCGAGCATCAGCAAGGCTTTGGCGCTGGGAGGGAGCAGGAGAGGGAAATAGGGTGCTCGAGTGTGACCCCTCGTCAGCCCTGAGTGGCGCGGCCGTCCGGCCTGGCGACCCGTCCCAGTCCGGCCGCAGAGGACACGGGAATGTCGCTCAATGGCCGCGTCTGGCGGGGGTTCATTGACTCACCGCGCCGTGTTTATAGCTGCCCAGGCGGACAAGCATCCGCCGTCTCCCGGCTATGCACCATTGCCATGACGATGGCGGCCCGTTCTGTACACAGACAGTGACCCAGTTGACATTGCCGGGAGTTAGACAAGCTGCTGCACTGTCTCCATATGATAAACTGCAGGCTAACTGCATTTGTTGAAGTTTAAACGCTTGCGGAACTAGAAACCTCATTCAGGATGCTCCTTGAATCAACGAACAGGCATTTTCAACCGAGCACGAAAGCTTGCGCGGTTCGATGAAAAGTACCTACCGGATTGTAAAATTCATGGTCATCTGGTGTAAAGGATTGCTGCCATTCATTGTCAACGGCCAATTGACAATTTACAGTATCGCAATATAAAGCTTTTGCGAGCTCAATCTGAATCAACACGGCGTTGAAAGGCAGCGCCGATCGTATATTTCATATACATTCGCAGCGGCGAAGTTCGACTTTGATCAATAGCGATCTGTGATACCGTTACTCTACACCGTTCATTTGTCGCTGCGTCACCAAATGTGGTGCTGGCGACGCAACCTTGAGACATTGCATGTTAGCACTTGAGTGTTTATTGATATGACACCTTTTCCGAAAACCCGGCATGCTGAGACCGCCCATAGCTGGCTTCGGGTGTGGCACAATCACTCGATCGTACCAGCCGTGGCGACACCAAGAGCGCTCATTTTTATCAGGAATTCTCCACATTCGCTGCAGCGCAAACGTGCCACGCTGCGCTGGTGAATGAGGTTCGACCAGTTAGGTGTAGTACACGAAATGCATTTCAGTTTCTCATCAAATGCGACGAGCTCATTCGTCAGACATGCTATCAGGAGCGAGCTGTCACTGGGCGTAAGGTCAGTGTTGCCATCGAGGTACATACTGCACTTACGTGGTAGACCACATTGCCCGTTACGTCTACAGGCCCGTCCATGTTTTATGGGCGCTTCAATGCACTGAAGATCCTTCAGTGTCTTTACGTACTAGATGGCGGTACATTGCCATAATAACTGCATTAGAATCTCAATAAATTATTTGAACAATGTCACTTATTTTGTATCTTCGATTAAAAACAACTTTGATCTCTGGCAACTCCAACCAAACGACAAGTACTTCAGTGGCTCAACGATGTTATAATCGACACCTCAGTGATACATTTATCGCCTCAGTGATGTGAGCCAGGACTTCCAGCCGACGGCCCCCCGCGAGTGAATGGATATATTCGCGTCACACCTCGCACCTCTCAGTGCGTCAGTCTGCCGGGCGGCCGAGCCGGGGTGGTCGGCAAAGATCAAAGGCTGTGCGCCAGGCCCACCTCAGCCGTGGCCGTGGGCGCTTCACTTACCTCACTTATCATACATACTACAGTCGATGAATGGGGCGGTACGACACGACAGCTGAAACGCACATTCCTGGCAAATGCAGTGGCTATAGATGATGGATGGAGGAAGCATGTAAGAACAAAAACTCAAAACAGCTTAAGTTTAATTTGTGGAGACTAAGTCATGCTAAAAGATCAATTGTTCAGTTAAACGATGCATCGGTCTTTTTTTCCTTATTAAAACGTTGCTGAAATAAACATGTTTAGGCAATATTTTTGTCGATTAAATCGTATGCTGTTCACTGAACACATTATTAATAATTTTGAAGTAATATTTATTGAGTTGCCTCAGATCTTCATAAACATGAAGTAGGTAATGGCTACAATACGAAATTTTTTATGAGAACAGCTGCACCAAGTACCAACATAGTCTTGTCATGTTTCACGTGACATTTTATAGCACGCACATTTTGTCGAATGCTACACGACCGCAGCCATTGGTGATGTGGCGGCTCGTCCTGGCCGCACAGGCTCTCATACATGACAGATGCATCGTGACGATTCACTCACGCATAATGGTTCCGCAATGGAGCCATAATCGATATACCTTATTGGGCGCACCGCTGAATGTTCAACGCCTTCAGGTATCCGAAGAGTGTTTTAAAACCGATCGATAAAATAGTTTGGCTTTTAGGAGGCATGTTGGCTTTAAGAGCAACAAATTTGAACCGTTCAGCTATGTGAATTGCCAAAGCTACTGTATGCTAACGCATACCGGTGACGGTCTTGCGCACTTTAGTGGATCATTATATTGTGTGCAATGGGGGTTTTATCAAGACCATTGGTGGCGAACAAGTTTTTAAGTAGACGGTTTGTCCCAATATAGGCGTGGTTTTGAATAAACGGGATTTTCATCAGCTGTGAGACATTTCTGTTTTGCCTCTATACTCTATAAAAACACCTTTACCAAAAGTCGAGTCGTCAGTTCCAGTACCAGTTCCCGCTGCCAGGTTTGTCCAGGTAGAGGGCGGGGCGCGGGGAGAGGGTGTGAGTGCCGGGCCGGAGCGGGGTGCTCGGGCCGGGCCGGGCCGGCGCGGCGGGGCAGTTGACTGTGGACGGCGGCGAGCGGCGGTCGACGGCGCGGCTCTCCACTCTCGACTGGAACTCTGCAGGCCGATCGGACTGGGAGTGGGTGCCGTGTGATTGGTTTGGTGGACGAACGGACGGAGGTGTGTGTTGTGTTCGGGAGTGAGGAGAGGGAGCTGAGACAGTTCCATCTGTCCACCCCAGATCAGTTGGATCGGAGGCTACTCCTGCCGCTCCACCGCCTGTGGACGGGCGACGTCCGATCGTGAGGACCGCGCTGTTGGAATGTCCGAGCCGAGTCCACCGCATCTGTGACACAGGAGAACAAACAGCGAGTGCCGTCCATCCGACAGGGAGCGACGGAGACTGTTCTGGACAAACAGGCAGCGCGCGCAGTGCAGGTGAGCTCAGGACACACACCGCAGGCCGCTCCGGCCGGTGCGCGGAGATGGATGGGGTCTGACCGATGTGCCGTGAGTCGTGTATCGTGGTCGAACTGTACGCCCCCTGAGGTTAGTGCGTCTCTGCAAATCGCCACCAGAAACGGACAAAACATTTGTTTTTAATGCGCAAGGTATGCCAGATATGAAATGAAATTGACGGCTTTGACTTAATTTGTTCGGCAAAGGAAGTGGTAAATACTAAATATGATTGGACTTGGAAAGATGTTTATTAATTTATGTAGCATTTGTTTGTATAGGCACATACTTGGCATTGGATTGAAGCTTGAATTTCGTAGTAGCTCGCTCTATTATGCGAGAAACGAAATTTCAGCAATCCTGCGGAAAGTGATCTGGAGTTTAAGTTAGCAGGGGATGTTATCTTATAACATAATTATCATCCTATATTCAGCTGTAGCGATGGTTTTGTCTATTTAGGCGCCGGTTGTAACGCACCTTTGTCCTAAGCGCGCTGTATCCAAGGCTTTCATACATCTCTAACAGGTCTTATGCACATTTATAAAGCTGTGATAGTTTGAAACGATATCATTCTGTCATCGTAAAACGTTGCTTGTAAAAAGTGTTTTAATTTTCCAGGGAAAATGCGTTCTCCACACGAATGTTAATTTACGATTAATTTAAGTAGTACCTAATACCTATCGCTATCAACATTAACCGTGTTTACATAGGGTTCCCTTAATCTTCCCCTATTTGTCTCTTAAATGTCCCTTATAAAGGAATCCTCTGTCTCCTTTACCTCGCTTCACTACAAATATGGCGCAACTAAGTCATTCTAGAAGCAGTTTGCAATTTTTACTTACCTTTAGGGCTCTCCCAAATAGCTTCCAGACTAGACACTGAGGTAAAAGTGATAGCACACGAAAGCTCAAAGCAAGAAAAATCAGAAAACTATCTGGCATTTAACATACTTTAAACGGCTGAGCTATTATTCAAGTAGGTGTAATCACATCCACGGCAATATCAGAACACCGCACCTGTCGAATTTCTGCCTTGACTTTCTGCCGTTTATGCGTTAATGCCACTTAAAAATCCTCAGTCGGCGCACGTGCGCTTGTCGAGTCGGGGACCACCAGTCGGACAATTCGGAACTGCCGGCCAATCAGCACGCCGCTTTTGTGATATGGTAGTTTGAGAACCACTGGATATGGTAGCGTAGCAGCTTTTGGAAAGGCGCTACGCTACCAAATCCTCCCCTATTTGTCGCTTAAAGAGGGAATTGAAGGGCAGGATAAAAATACTTCAAAATATGAATTGTTGAATTTCGAGTATTAAATAAGCCCAATTTATATTGTTTACAGCATAAACGATGCTTTGTATGCTTCTAACAACAATAGTGCCCATAGCAACGTTACACGCGATCGCTATGATGCCTAAAATTCGATCTGAAAATAGGGGAGAAATAGGGGAAGATTAAGGGAACCCTATGTAAACACGGCTATTGATGTTGCCGTTTACTTCTTTGATACTTCCCAGGACGCCCTCGCATGAAAATTAAAATTATCATCAGTCATTGGCGCCCTACAGTTAGGTGCATACATACATTCAATTTTTATCCCTGCAGTTATTTCTAATTTCTTAGGGATGCTCGTTCATCCGTGGGAGATTGCGCGCTATAAAAAAAACACCCGTTTTGCTGATATAGGTTATTCTAAAGATGGTTTTGCGACTTGAAAACATATGGTGGTCAATCTGTCATCCGAGGATTTGATTTAGAATGTTTTGGCATTGGTGTAGTTTTTACATATGGAACGCTGCCATATTTGGATCACAATACAGGGAAGATACAATCAGAAGAACGCTGCCGGTCGCTGTAACAAAAGCCAACCAGAAATTAATCATCTTTTGCTGGATCATTTATTCTTCGTAGTTAATTGATTGTTTACGAGCAGTTCGCTGCATAATTGAAATAGATGGTTCCCAGTTAGTTATTGCCTAGAGTGTAATGAAGGCAACCACAGCTTGTGCGGATATATGAACCATTGGATACATCTTATCAAGTTACCTACAACATCGCGCCGAAGCAGACTTTATGGCTGTAGCCGGCTGCTGTGGTTTGACACCGGTAAAAGTGGCGGTGTGCGGGTCGGACTGACACGTGCCCAGTGGCCGTCGACGACCGTCGGTGACCGGCCCGCTGACCGTCGGTGAGGTCGGTGAGTGGCTCGGTCCACCGCACCCGTCCCGTCACGGACCGGGCGCGGCTCAAACCGGCACCCAATCGGCCGGCAGCATCGGTGTCGAAACGGGCCCCGGTCGACCTGTCGGGTCGGGCCGGGCCGGTCACCCACGCGCCGCCACCGGCACCCACGCCTGTCACCGGTCTCCGTCCATCGGAGACACGCGAGCAGCGGAGACACATTCTGAGCGGACGCACACGCAGGTGGCGGCGACACGCAGCCGGCGCCGCCGCGCGCTCCTTCAGTGCACTGCGGCGTACTGAGAGATTTTCCATTCCTCTTATTGGAGTAGCTTTATACGTTGATTAGGGGAATCATTCCGCATAATTGGTTTTTGAGGGCTAAGAAAGGAAACGATGTGGCACTCCGCGCTTCGCATTCTTTCGAAAAGTCTTCACGGAAGGAGATGAATTATTGCGTCTATTTCATGTCAATGAGCATTTTCATCGTTTGCAATGTCCTCATTTTCTCATATGCATTTTTCACCGTTTTCAATCTCTCATTTGTCGAGAAAAAAAGAGGAACTATCAATTTATCATCCACACGCAATACCAGAATGACAACAATATTTTTATTTGTGCTTTTTATGGCAGCTGCTAAGTAACCAGCCACACCTCGCTATAGCTTTGCTGTGGTTCACGCCTTACCAGCGTCCCCGATCCTACTCAAACACCTGCCCAGACGACCAGGTGGTTTCCTCTTAGACGCAAACACGCACGCAGACGCACACACAGCTGGTTTCCAAAGTCGCCACCCGGTGCACAGCACAGGGTGTGGTTCTCAGCGAGTCACTAACGAGACACGGAGGAGTGATGACCGCCCTGCGACTGATCGCCGGCGCTGGAGGGAGGAGGACCACGGAAAGAGGGAGGGGGACTGACAGGTGACTCCAGCCGTCAATTACAGGTCCCCAGTGCGCCGCATTGACCAATAGGGTGAGATCGGCCGATAGGTGAGATCACCGCTGATTGGAACATTGAAAATGACGCACCGTACATGAAGACAATGGGTGGAATTTGCCAGACCTACTTTGTCCGTCCGGGCATATTACTTTGTGGCTGGCTGACGCGACACACCCATTTTTGCATGATAAAGCCAGCAGCTGGCAACGCGCGTGTCCACAAGCCTTTGTCAGCATTTTTAGCCATTTATCAAGGTGTTAAATTGGCACCTACCTACTTAGTCTATTAGCATTCTCATTATAATGCTTAAACAAACGACGGGCGAAGTTTCCGCCTTCTTCAGTGGCGCCAGTGAAAACCGTGACTGCTCTTTTCGTGGAGACATTGCGTTTGACTGTAACGGTTCCAGTCTCGTCGAAAAGAAAACAGGCACACAGGCCAATTCCGTTTTCCTGAGATGACCGCGATAAGGCCATTCCACTGCACGATTTGTGACCATGGCCCATGACGGTATGGGGCACACGTCCAGCATGTTCTGTGCACGCACCCATGGACTTATCGGCGCGGTGACACGGGTAAGCGCGGCCGTTCCTGAAATCACGCCGGGCAGGGATTTGGCCGGCCACCGCGCCGGGTGGCCTCACTGCACTGGAAGCCCTACACACGCGAGACGCCGGGCGCGGTGTCGGCCGCGGCGGGCAGGACGGGGTCAGGCCGATACCTCTCCACTGCCCCGGGCTCGTGCCTGGGGGCACGTGCTTGCTGCAGCGTGGTGAGCCCGGCCGCCCGCCGCGCAGCACTGGGCAGCGGCGGGTGGTCACCGGCGGGCAAAGGTCAATGTCAGCGGGACGGCCGTGCCCGCCCCCGCCTCCTGCTGGCACGGGAGCCGCCGCCGCCGACAGCTCGCATATCTGAGAGGAAGAGCAGACGCACAATTCACACTTACGCTCAGACAATCAGACACGCGGGCAGTCAGACAGGCAGGCGGCCATAGCCACAGTCAGTCAGTCAGATCGACAGACGGAAGCGGACTCAGACCTTCAGGCATGTGGGAGAGGCAGATCTCATTGGGCATTCCCGATAGTCAGGTGCCGAGCTGTGTACTGTGACTCGCGTGATTACCATTCGGTCCATCACTGGCCGGGCCCGCGGCGATGGCATCTCGCCTTCAGTCTCTGTTCAGGTGTGCTGCAGGAGTGGCTGTCAGCGGATGTTCGCGCGGTCCATCGCTTTCGGGGACACCTGGACCTCGTGTAGTTGATTGGTGACTGCGGTTTGGTCATTTGATCACATCTGGTGGATTGCAGCCATTGGTGCATAGCCAAGAAAGTCGTTGAGAGCGGTATTCAGCAGACATGTGCATGGATCCGAGAAAATGGATCTGGGATCTGATCCCACGGATCCTGATCTCGGATCCGTCTGGATCATAGATCCAGTTCTTTAATTTATCGAGAGATCCGTAGGTATCATAGATCCGCGTCTAGTATTTTTGCTTGAGATCCAGTGGGATCATAGATCCTCATTTATTTTTGGTCAACACAGAAATCCCAAAAGATCACTCGTTGCAACTCACAAACGTTCTTATTTAGTGATTTTATGTAATAACACGTCATAATCCATAGTTTTATGGCACTTATTGACATAGAAACACTTGAAAACCTGGTTTCAAATGTTGTGCATGGCGGGATCCACTCAGATCATAGATCCATGTTCTTGGTTTATCGTCAGATCCTGTGAGATCATAGATCCAGGATAAATTTTTCACACCGGATTTGGTGGGATCATAGATCCGAGTCTGCAATTTGCCTCGAGATCCACTGAGATCATAGATCCATCACTCGGATCCATGCACATGTCTGGT